GAACCCAGAAAACCGCAGAAAACCGGACCTAGGGGGAATCGATACCCACCGTCACTGTTTTGCAGCCTGGTACATTACCCTGCAAAACCATACTTTGCACGGCCCTAAAACATCACCTATTTACGCCGTTTTCGGCCCCTTGAGACAGCTACCCACCCCAGACCCCCTATTCTCACTTCGTTCGCAAATAACAACTAGCCAGCTTCCCGGCTGGCTTTCGTAATTCTTTCTTTATCCTGATTCGCAACTTATTCCGAAGTGTGCAAAAGATTGTCTTTCACAAGTATGTAAATGCAGCAACATCTGCCTCCTGCCCCATTTTTTGCATCCTAGTTCGCAGCAACTTCTTCCACAGTGTGCAAAACATTGTTTTCAAAGGGAAATGCAGCAGCTTTTGTCTCCGGTCTTATTTTCTCTCTCTCTCTCTCTATTTCTATATTTGATGATATTCTATGTAATTCGCAACGTGTTCCGAATTGCGCAGAACGTTGTGTTTTTTCGAGCGAACTGGCCGCAACTGCTGCCCCGTTTTTTTCGAGAGCTTACTTCACGGCTGATTCATCTACATGATTCTACATGGTCCTACCTATGGATTTTGCAAGTCACAAAGGGCAGCTGATGCCTCTTGCAAAAGAAAAAAGGATTAAAAAGGCCCAATAGAATCCATTAGAAACAATTTCAGGGTGCTGAAGTTGCAAATCCATCGGCCAGGCCAAGTGAATCAAATTAACAGCGAAGTAGTCTATAGAAAATCACACGGAGGCAGCTGCGGCCAATGCATACCATGCATTGACCAGTGAAAAACCGCTGTTTTGCGCATTTAGGAATAAGTACCGAATTGAGATAAAGACAAAATGGGACGAGGGACACATGATGTGCATTGACCTGTCAAAAGCCAATAAAATCAATAATACTTTGCACAACATCGAAGAAGAGTAGCAGCATGCAGACGGATGTCTCTCAACAGAGTTTCGACAACGAAAAAAAATCAGTGCCAAACAGTCGGACAACATGTTAAAAAGAAGCAACACACTCTAATCATGCTAGCCCTCACTCCCAAATCTCAATGTTTCAGAGCGGGTGCTACCAAGTGTATCCAAGCGTAGCGTTAGAGGATGTTAGAGGTCTGATTGCTCTTGTCTAGTAGGGCCAACGCGCCGCAGTTGACATTGACATGGGGCGGGGGAGGTGTATTGTCTAGAATCTATAGCGACGGACATATACTTAGAACATCATTTTTTCCAAAATTTCGGAACCTCCTCTTAGAACATCAAAATTACTTACCATACTTAGAACATCAAAAATGTTTCTAAGTATGCACTTAGAACATCAGAAAAACAGATACTTAGAACATCTCCTTTGATTTTTGCATACTTAGAACATTAAACCACACATATACTTAGAACATGTCCTGATACTTTGGTAAATCTGCATATATACACACAAATACCTTGGTGAACACCATACTTAGAACACTTTCTCCCCTCACTGCTGCAGCATTCTATACCTTTTCTTCGGGAACAATATCCCAAGCAGTCTTCGCTGCAATGGGAAGGTCTCTAGTAATTTGTGGGTTTCCTAGAGGGGGTGGTCAAAAAGCATAGGTTTCAATACTAAAATGAGCTAAAATGAATTATATATAATTTTGAATTATTTTGACGGACTCCTACTTAGAATAAAAAGTTTTTTCCAAAATTTGAAAACCAGTACTTAGAATAAAGCCATTACGGGACGAATCTGGTACTAACAACCAGTGTACTTAGAATAAACAACCCTGTACTTAGAACATATATACAGTATTATACAGTATATATTATATATATATTGCATGACATTCATCAACCCTTGAGAGACAAAGAATGGTTCACATCAAGAAGTTCGGCTACAATTACAACACCCACATATATCATATAAGTATGCTGCTGCTCTATCGATATTGTATATTCAGGTGCGAATGCCTGTTGTGCATGACCATATGCCATTGATTTGTGGTTGCTACTCACTCATCACTATCAACTTCATACTGCCACGTGTAGCTCGTATCACGACCAATTTGCATGTTCTAAGTGTGTGTGCTCCTGCAAGCCAATATGGGTTTTTGCACGTGGTTGCTACTCACTCATCATTATCAACTTCATACTGCCACGGCCACGTGTAGCTCATATCACAAACGTGTTGCATGTTCTAAGTACGTGTTCCTGCAAGCTAAAATGAGTTTTTGCACGTGGCTGCTACTCACTCATCACTATTAATTTCATACTGCCACGTGTAGCTCATATCACAAACGTGTTGCATGTTCCAAGTGCGTGTTCCTGCAAGCTAAAATGAGTTTTTGCACGTGGTTGCTACTCACTCATCACTATTAATTTCATGCTGCCACGTGTAGCTCATATCACAAACGTGTTGCATGTTCTAAGTACGTGTTCCTGCAAGCTAAAATGAGTTTTTGCACGTGGTTGCTACTCACTCATCACTATCAACTTCATACTGCCACGTGTAGCTCGTATCACGAACAATTTGCATGTTCTAAGTGTGTGCTCCTTCAAGCCAAAATGTTTTTTTTGCACGTGGTTGCTACTCACTCATCACTATCAACTTCATACTGCCACGTGTAGCTCGTATCACGACCAATTTGCATGTTCCAAGTGTGTGCTCCTGCAAGCCAAAATGGGTTTTTGCACGTGGTTGCTACTCACTCATCACTATCAACTTCATACTGCCACGTGTAGCTCATATCACAAACGTGTTGCATGTTCTAAGTACGTGTTCCTGCAAGCTAAAATGAGTTTTTGCACGTGGTTGCTACTCACTCATCACTATTAATTTCATGCTGCCACGTGTAGCTCATATCACAAACGTGTTGCATGTTCTAAGTACGTGTTCCTGCAAGCTAAAATGAGTTTTTGCACGTGGTTGCTAATCACTCATCACTATCAACTTCATACTGCGACGTGTAGCTCATATCACAAACGTGTTGCATGTTCTAAGTACGTGTTCCTGCAAGCTAAAATGGGTTTTTGCACGTGGTTGCTACTCACTCATCACTATCAACTTCATACTGCCACGTGTAGCTCATATCACAAACGTGTTGCATGTTCCAAGTACGTGTACCTGCAAGCTTAAATGAGTTTTTGCACGTGGCTGCTACTCACTCATCACTATTAATTTCATACTGCCACGTGTAGCTCATATCACAAACGTGTTGCATGTTCTAAGTACGTGTTCCTGCAAGCTAAAATGAGTTTTTGCACGTGGTTGCTACTCACTCATCACTATCAACTTCATACTGCCACGTGTAGCTCATATCACAAACGTGTTGCATGTTCTAAGTACGTGTTCCTGCAAGCTAAAATGAGTTTTTGCACGTGGTTGCTACTCACTCATCACTATCAACTTCATACTGCCACGTGTAGCTCATATCACAAACGTGTTGCATGTTCTAAGTACGTGTTCCTGCAAGCTAAAATGAGTTTTTGCACATTGTTGCTACTCACTCATCACTATCAACTTCATACTGCCACGTGTAGCTCATATCACAAACGTGTTGCATGTTCTAAGTACGTGTTCCTGCAAGCTAAAATGAGTTTTTGCACGTGGTTGCTACTCACTCATAACTATCAACTTTATACTGCCACGTGTAGCTCGTATCACGACCAATTTGCATGTTCTAAGTGTGTGCTCCTGCAAGCTAAAATGAGTTTTTGCACGTGGCTGCTACTCACTCATCACTATTAATTTCATACTGCCACGTGTAGCTCATATCACAAACGTGTTGCATGTTCTAAGTACGTGTTCCTGCAAGCTAAAATGAGTTTTTGCACGTGGTTGCTACTCACTCATCACTATCAACTTTAAACTGCCACATGTAGCTCATATCACGACCAATTTGCATGTTCTAAGTGTGTGCTCCTGCAAGCTAAAATGGGTTTTTGCACGTGGTTGCTACTCACTCATCACTATCAACTTCATACTGCCACGTGTAGCTCATATCACGAAGGTGTTGCATGTTCTAAGTACGTGTTCCAGGAAGCTAAAATGAGTTTTTGCACGTGGTTGCTGCTCACTCATCACTATTAATTTCATGCTGCCACGTGTAGCTCATATCACGAACGTGTTGCATGTTCTAAGTACGTGTTCCTGCAAGCTAAAATGAGTTTTTGCACGTGGTTGCTACTCACTCATCACTATCAACTTTAAACTGCCACATGTAGCTCATATATCAGGACCGTTTTGCATGCTCCAAATATGTGTTCCTGTAAGCTAAAATGAGTATTTGCACGTGGTTGCTACCCACTCATTATTTGTACTGCGGAAGACATGTCGCTGCAAGAAATATGATCCGCAAGTAACTTACCAAAACAACACTCATCACAGATCAAACAACATCATGCTCCCATAGTTCTAAGTACTGCTGTTCGGGGCACTGTCTAAGTACCTGAATTTGGTTCTAAGTACCTATGTTCTAACCACTACTTAGAACAATCTAGCTGCAAATGGATTTCAGATTGTTTTTCCAAAAATTATTCTAAGTAGGTGTCTATGACTATATAGTATTATATAGTGTATATATATAATTAGCGACGGACTTGCACTTCGAACATACATATATGTATGGTTCCCATTGGTTCCCCACTGGGATGTTCTAAGTATAGCTTGGAAATGTTCTAAGTATAGGTTTTGGGTATGTTCTAACTACTTTTTTTGAACCCCATACTTAGAACATCCCCGCTGTGACGATTTTCAGATTTTTTTTTCCAAATGATGTTCTAAGTATTTGTCCGTCGCTATATATAGAAAGGTTAAAGGCGTTAAAGGGTTTGGGCACTTCATATAAAGAATCTGCGGGTGAAGCCCTTGAAAAGAAATCAAGTTCGCAAGTTCGCTTCCACCGCATCCCGGGATTCCTCAGGATGATGACCAAATCCCTCAGCAAAAATACCTGAAAGATCCTGAAAGCAAATCCAACATAATCCAACAGTGTTACATTTTTGGCTCCGAACCCAAACCAGGCGGTCAACTTGTCCAGTTGGCCTTGCTCATCATGTTTCAGCCATCCACATTCATCACTTAATCATACTTATATAATCATGGAAATGTCTTGCTCTGAAATCAAAACTGACTGCACATGATCGGCACATGAGGTCTGAACCACAGCAAGCACGCTCGCCCGGCTTCTGAAAGCAGCAAGCACTCAGACCCTAGGCGAAGCGGCGCATGGGAATCGTACCAAGTCTGTGATGAAAACAATGGATACTGGCGCCCAGCAGTAGACGGCAAGACTTGTTTCTGACGATTGTTCAGTAGATTCCTGCTGTGAACTTGTCATTCTTTCTTCAGCTTTCAAGACTAATATTACAACCCCCCTCGGGGTTGACATTGTTCAACAAATATAAACATAAATTCTGCAACAACGGCAAAGTGCACAAACATGTTTTGCTTCGAAGATCTTCGAAGGCATATATAGAGGATTCTGATTCTGTGCAGAATTCGAAACCGCATGAAGTTTGGGAATATTTCGGGGTGGCAAATTCCTGATGCTGTGGATCTCGGATTGCTGCTGCTTTGCTGCTGCTTTTGAGCGCCCAACCAACACAGCTAGCTGCAATACGTTTGGGAGTGCAGCCTTTCGAGCAAAGCTGCCACAACCTCGGCATAGACTTTCGAAGCTTTTGAAGCCACCCTGCAATCTGCAAACATCTCCAAACCAGATGAAGAACATTGAAGAACAAAAAACGCTTTTTTATCCAATCTGTTCGAAGGGAACCAGTCAACAATACGATCAGCAGCAACTTTTCACTTGCAGAATCTTTCCTGCAACACCAAGGCACTCCAACAGACCGCGTCGGGGCGCATAGATTACCAGCCCAGGCCTCAACGCAAGAAACACACATATATTCCATGGAACACAATCGAAACTGAAAAGCAAACAGCGATAATACGGAGCACTCAAGAACATGCATGACGGACAGGACGCAAATATGTGGGACAACATAGAGCAGCATCAAAGCTTGCGTGATCAAAATGAATATTTGGTTCATTCTTTGAGCATACATCATTATGTATGCAACTTGGTGATCTATACATGCGAAATTGTCAAGAAAGACATGGTACAGTACTGTGCCGTGGAGCAAGTTTGCTTGAAAATCGAATAAGAGACGGATGACATCGGATGACCATCTGTCTTTTCAGGGTGTTCCGGCAAGATGAGCCCATATATTCATATACAGTAGCTAGTCTCTTTGCTACTGGAAAACGTGCAAGACTTCAATGAGGGGCGAAGCAGGTACACACAATTCGAAGACAGTAGATATGTGCAGATGTGTGTAGAATTGATCAGAACTGTGTACATATGAGCAGATTCGTACTAGTAACGTACAACCACCGGGGTGATGCTATCAGGCACTTGGTGCGTTCACCGTACCGTACCTACTTTCAGCTGTGCACTGACTTGTCCGTCAACTGCTTCAACACTACATTCATTTCAAATTATTTTCGCTTTGGCAATTTTCAGTTGACAAACGGTGACAGTCTCCACTTCCGAAGTAAACCACATGACACATACACTGCATAATCATTCCAGTCAGTGAACCTGCCAGCTCATTTTGTAGATTTTTGTAGCAATTCTGCCTGAAAACCCTGTGTGGCAATGTTTAGCATCTGTAAGGTCACATGAGCGGATGGAGTAGCCTAGTTCTTCGTCGATTCTTTCCTGCATTCAGACTGAAGTCATTTAGATATGATGAATTCTGATGATCTTATATGATTATGCTATGATATAATTCTCTTTCACCATCACATTTCACGAGATCCCGCACGCTTATATTATCTATATTGGCCTTTGCAGTTGCCCGCTGTGTCTTTGTTTTCACCGGTTTGGAGTTGCTAGATGTTGTAGGCCATATTTTCATCACAATTTAAGATGTTGGCTTTGGTTGGTCAGAGGTTGCTAATTAGGCAGTTGTAGGATGCTGTACGTGGAAGTGGCAAAAGAATTTACGTTGAGTGCGCAGGTCAAATTTGTTCGCCGCACTCTGCTGGCCTTGTTTTGACATTCTCTGGGCTGGATATAGTATAGGCTGCACACAGATCATTGTTGGGTTTTGATTGCTGAACTTGAACACACTTTTATGCACAGTCGGTGCATTGCGACAGCTAAGTAATTATGTCCCCGTTCCGTTTGTGGCAACAGGTTGGAATTTGCTCGCAACCCAGCGGCATTGTGATTTGCCGCTTCGAATCCTTGGTTCAATTAACATGTTGTAAATGAGACATGTATCCGCCGACCCCTGCCGTTGCCATTGCAAGGGGAAGCGCCCGAGACAGCGAAGCATCAGCAGCGGCCTGTTCTCCGTCACTGGCAGGCAGTTCAGGAGCTGACGGCGCCACGACCAGCTACCCTTCGAAGGCACGATCTGTCCCGCAGTGCCATGCTGTTTCGGTGTGGAAAAATGTACATTTTTGAGCCTTTTGGCTGGCCTTTGAAATTTGTTTTATAGGCATTTCAAAGCGAGCAAATGGGCCACGACCGAGCTGCCCTTCGAGAAGCTTTCCGTCCTTCACTGCCATGCTGTTAAAACGTGGCGAGGGTACGTGGCGAAGGGTTCTGTCTCCGAGCTGGCGGTGCGTTCGTGAGCCTTTTGGCTGGCCTTTGAACCCCTTTTGGCTGGCCTTTGAACCTTCTTCTATAGGCGTTTCCAAGCGAGCAAATGGGCCACGACCTAGCTGCCCTTCGAGAAGCTTTCCGCCCTTCACTCCCATGCTGTTAAAGCGTGGCAAAGGGTGCTTTTTCCCGAGATCTTTGACCGTTCAGACAGCGGCGCGAAGCCTTCCGTCCTTCACTGCCATGCTGTTAAAGCGTGGCGAAAAGTGTTTCTCGAGCTGGCGGCTGCTCTTGGCATTCTTCTTTAACCATTTATCGGCGTTTCAAAGCGAGCAAATGGGCCACGACGTAGCTGGCCTGTCTCGTAGTGCCATGCTGTTTCGGTGTGGCGAGGGCAGCGTCTTGGAGCATGTGGCTGGCCTTCGAACCTTGTTTCTAGGCGTGTCAAAGCGAGCAAATGGGCCACGATCAGCTGCCCTTCGAAGGCCCGATCCGTCCCGCAGTGCCATGCTGTTTCGGTGTTGCGACGGCATCTCCTTCGCTGACAGGCAGTTCAGGGAGCTGACGGCGCCACGACCAGCTGCCCTTCAAAGGCACGATCTGCCCCGCAGTGCCATGCTGTTTCGGTGTGGCAAAATGTGCATTTTTGAGCTTTTTGGCTGGCTTTTGAAATTTGTTCTATACTTATGACGCCGAGAGACCTTCATTCATTGGAAAATTGAAAATATCTAAAATTATGAAAAAACAAACAAAAAACACACCAGAAAAACAAGCCCCAAAAAATCAATCTAAAAAAACAAAAAAGGGGGTACCGCAAAAAAAAGGGGGTACCACGAGCCGCCGCGGCACACCCTAGACTGATTGCTTGCCCCCATCAAGGGTAATAGGCGCACTGTTTGAAGCTTTGACTAGGCAGCCCTTGTTGGATTTTGGGAATTTTGGCCGCAGCTTGGCAGCAGGCAACGCAGCAGACTGTGGACTTTGAGAGCAAGTGGTAACAACAAGCTGCGGCGATTAGGGAGAAGCACAAAGTCTCCCTAGGTTTCAAACCGTGCGCTGTTTATTGTTTTTTGTTTTGTTTATTGTTTTTTCCAATGTTTTTGTTTTGTTTTTTGTTTGTTTTTTAGTTTTTTTTCTTGTTTTTTTGATTATTTGCCGGTTTCCAGTAAAATGAAGCATTTTGCCTCATAATTCTATACGCGTTTCAAAGCGAGCAAATGGGCCACGGCCTAGCTGCTCTTCGAGAAGCCTGCCGTTCTTCACTGCCATGCTGTTAAAGCGTGGCGAAGGGTGCTTTCTCCGAGCTGGCGGTGCGTTTTTGAATCCTTTGGCTGGCCTTTGAACCTTCTTCTATAGGCGTTTCAAAGCGAGCAAATGGGCCACGACCTAGCTGCCCTTCGAGAAGCTTTCCAAGATATGGTCATATATATGTACAAATGTAAATCTATCTGTATAGGTGTCTATCTATCTATCTATCCATCCATCCATCCATCCATCTACACATCTATTTATCTATCCATCCCTCTATCCATCTATCCGTCTATCTATCTATCAATCTATCTATCCATCTATCTATCTATCCATCTATCCATCTATCTATCTATCCATCTATCCATCTATCTATCTACAGCATCTATCTATCTACAGCATCTATCTATCTATCTATTTATCTATCTATCTATATCTATCTATCTATCTATCTATCTCTATATCTAATCTAATCTAATCTAATTTACCTCTCTCTCTCTCTCTCTGTCTCTCTCTCTGTCTCTCTCTCTCTATCTTTACATATCTATCTATCTAATCTAATCTAGTCTAATGTAATCTAATCTTTCTATCTGTCTATCTTTCTATCTATCTACCTATCTACCTATCTACCTGCCTACCTATCTACCTACCTACCTATCTACCTATCTACCTATCTACCTATCTACCTATCTACCTATCTACCTATCTATCTATCTATCTATCTCTATCTCTATCTCTATCTCTATATCTATATCTAATCTACCTCTCTCTCTCTCTGTCTGTCTCTCTCTATCTCTACATATCTATCTATCTAATCTAATCTAATCTAGTCTAATCTAATCTAATCTTTCTATCTGTCTAACTTTCTATCTATCTATCTATCTATCTACCTATCCACCTATCTACCTATCCACCTATCTACCTACCTATCTACCTATCTATCGATCTACCTATCTACCTATCTACCTATCTACCTATCTATCTATCTATCTATCCTATCTATCTATCTATCTATCTATCTACAGCATCTATCTATCTACAGCATCTATCTATCTACAGCATCTATCTATCTACAGCATCTATCTATCTACAGCATCTATCTATCTACAGCATCTATCTATCTACAGCATCTATCTATCTACAGTATCTATCTATCTACAGTATCTATCTATCTACAGCATCTATCTATCTACAGTATCTATCTATCTACAGTATCTATCTATCTACAGTATCTATCTATCTACAGTATCTATCTATCTACAGTATCTATCTATCTACAGTATCTATCTATCTACAGTATCTATCTATCTACAGTATCTATCTATCTACAGTATCTATCTATCTACAGTATCTATCTATCTACAGTATCTATCTATCTACAGTATCTATCTATCTACAGTAACTATCTATCTATCTATCTATCTTTCTATCTATCTATCTTTCTATCTATCTATCTATCTACAGAAACTATCTATCTACAGAAACTATCTATCTATCTATCTATCTATTTATCTATCTATCTATCTACAGTATCTATCTATCTATCTATCTACAGTATCTATCTATCTACAGTATCTATCTGTCTATAGTATCTATCTATCTATCTATCGATCTATCTATCTATCGATCTATCTATCTACCTACCCATGTTTCTATCTATCTATCTATCTTTATCTATATTTTTCTATCTTTATCTATCTTTATCTATCATTATCTATCATTATCTATCATTATCTATCTTTATCTATCATTATCTATAATTATCTATCATTATCTATCACTATCTATCATTAACTATCTATATCTGTCTATATCTATCTATATTTATCTATATCTGTATCTATCTCTATCTATCTATTTATCTATCTGTCTATATACACATACATATACATTAAACTTATTTTTGTATTCTGTCGCCATGCTCCTTTCTTTCCACTGCCATGCCCCCCATAAGGGGGGTCGGCGGCACCAGGGCGGTAGCCCTACTTATTATTACGACAATAAGACTGCTGCAAAAAATGCCCGTGTGCAGGTGCGACTCTCTCAGGTTTCACCTCCGAATGTGCAGGAATCTGCCTGAATGTCATGCCACATCGTGCTCTGACATTTTGGCCTTCCCTGATTTACTGTAAAGATCTTGATTCCTAATAATAGTATGAAGCTCTTGTCCTGATGCTTGTTGTTTTGCACCCAGCCGGCCCGAGCTGTAGTCAATGCCCAGGCTCTACAAGAGGGTGTGAGAGCAGGTCAGAATGCCACACCTATCTAGCAAGTCGCTGCCTAGTCACCAGTCTTACAAGGTCCTACAGGGTTCTGCAAGGTCCTCAAGGTCCTCAAGGTCCTACAAGCCTGAAACATTCTGAAGATTATTGATTATAAGTTGAGAGCATTGAGAGCAAAGGCTGAGCAGCACTGCTGAGCAGCACCCATACTCCACAAAGCGCTAAACCGTTGAACCAGCCCCACACTGGCCCCACCAGCACCGCACAACTGCACCACAATCATTGCACTGCCAGCCCGATTAAGACATACAGGATCATACAGGTACGGTATGGTACGGTAAAACTTTCTTTCACGGCCGTGGGATCCGTGGGATAGAATATGAATGATATTGAATGACTATGACAGATTCTCAGAGCCTTGCTCTGCGGTCAACATCTTTAAGAAAACAAACGAAGAAAAGGACAAGCTGTCAGACGGCTGTCCAGCGAATGAGCCCCCCTTCGAAATCTTCGAAGGGAATTGACGGAATTAGCATTGAGTGCAGAACATATCATCTGTGGAGTCCTGGCATCGATGGCCAGTTGTCATGGACTCCAGTTGTCATGGCCAGTTGGATGTAGCACGTGTGGCAAAAACAACCTCCAAGCAGGTTGTGTGATTCGCATTGATTAGCCTCTTTGCATGTCTTTTGACTTTTTTGCAGCCGCCAGTGTCATTTCATGTTAATGACAATGCTGCCGCATGTTGAATGCTGCTGCGATATTCGGTTTCCGCAACGAGCCAAAGGAGTCAGGCGGGCCCACTCATCACCAGCAAACTTGTGATGGCCTCGGCATTCACTATGGTTTGCCTTTGCCTTCCCAAGGTGTCCAGCTGCGATTTGCAAGTCGAACCCACCTCCCTATGTTCATATCTATCATGCAATCTTGAAACACCTGCAGCTGGTTCAGTTTCCATTTACCTCTGAAAGAACCGATGACAACTTTGACACCATAAAGCTGGCGAGAAGGAAAGCACACCCATGGCAAGCAATCCGTTGAAATGATTCTGCGTGGCAAATAAGGCATCTTCGAAAGACTTTGCAGCGAAAGGTGACAACCAGGGTGTGCGCCGAGCCAAGCCACTTGTGCATCGCGATAGCCTCCAAAAACGAGCGAACATGTTTGAACAATGTCGCAAGAAAACGTGTAGCAACTATGAGCAACACATGTGCACACAAGCGATGAAAGCGCCCGTCACATGAAAGCTGAGTCAAGGCAGCCTTTCCACAAATGAAGACATCGAAGGGTCTCCATGCAAAACAAAGCTACGCGTCCTGCCCAAGGTTCGCAATCTTGCGCGCAATCCAAATTTCACTTGAAGCATTGAATCGATTTGCCTCGATGGATATTCTTGGAGCAAGCGAGGGCCCCAAACATTACTTTTAAACCCAAGGCAAGCACCAAAAGTGTCACAAGAAACTGCAAGAACCATAGCACCTCAGCTGGCATTTCATCATACGCCATGCAGCGCGGCAGCAGGCAACCTTCTTCCATTGTGCTGGACAGAGTGAGGTCTGATGAGGTCTGAACTTGGTCCGCAGTCTGCAGGAGCAAGTGATAAGATCTCGCCTTGCCGCGCAGAATCCTTATGAAATCAACTGAACTGCTTTGTGCATATCCTTGCATCCAGTTGAGAACTTTGATGGAACAATTTGAACAAATTTTGGTTTCGTACATGCATCGATCGTGCTGAGGCATTGGCGATGAATTTTGCAACCACTGGCAACTCTGTTGCTGGGATTTGGTTGGATACCTGGACAAGGATGGACAAGGCAAATGTTAGGCATTTTTAGGAACGCCTGTCGGCCGTTCCCTCCCTCGTTCCCTCTGGCTGTATCTGTAGGTGTGATTCTCAGTGCATGTTTGCCCTGGCCCCTGCCCTCATGTAAGAACATGACTAAGCTGACTAAACAAAAAACCGTATGACCTGACTTAGATTGCTTTGATTTGTTTTAGATTATACAATGTTGTATCCTGATTAGTGGCTAGGCTCGCTATTGTGGATAGAATTTTCCAAATTATTCTGAACCCATGTATTGTTTGGAGGGTTCACTATTGTGGCAAGACATCTTGGGCGGACAATTTTTTGGTCCAACAAAATATTTGTGTAAGAAAATTAAACACTTATTGTAAAGAACAATTTTTCCACAAATTTCCAAGGCACTGGGCCATGAGAGGGTCCAATTCACTTTAGTAGGTTTGTTCGCAGGGTTCACAATTGCAGCAAACTTTTCCAGAGCTGATCCTGGAGCCAAGAGAAGAAAGGTAGGCCTTTTCCACAAGCAATTGCCAAATTCAAAGCCCAAACCTTTCCCAAAAGAATCGGACCGCTTATTAAACCCTTATTAAAGAAAAAAAAATCCAAGGCACTGGGCCATGAGAGGGTCGAATTCACTTTAGTAGGTTTGTTCTCAGGGTTCACAATTGCAGAAAACAGGGTTCTCAAAGCTCGACGAACTTGATAAAAAGCAGTAGAATTCTGAGTTTGTACCAAAATGTTCTGCCTTTCAGTTGTTGTCAAACGAGACCCCTTGATCAAACGATACCCACGCAGCTCGTCGCCAAAAAAGTCATTGACTGCCATCGATTGGCCAATTCCGGCCGAAGTCGCTTGTCCAGCTGTCGCTGCGTGTCCGGCTGACGGATCTTCTGCGGGAACCGTAGGTCTTGGCGCGTCCTATCGGACCTTGGGAAGGAGTGGAAGAAGGACCACGTTGAGCATCTGAACTTCCTGACACAGTTGCAGTTGGATCTGGGCGTCCATCACTTCGCGCACGCCTGAGAGCATCCTGCAGTTGCACAAACATGTCTTCTTCTCGTACCAGGAACTGCGGGATAGATTCATTGCTATTGCGTTTCAGTTGATGCCACTGATCCAACCTTTTGAACAAGTCTGGAACTAGTAACTGGAAGACACTGAAGGGGTGTCTTGCGAAGAACATCCACCAGTCGTGTCAATCCATCCGTCCCCTCTGGTTAGACATTTGGAGGTCCACGCGGTTTGGCCCAAACTCGGCTCGCAGCTGACTTCCGTTCGTTGTCCTTTAAGGATTTCCCGAACCATCTGCAAGCTGTCGCAAAGGTCTCAAACTCAGTTGGGTTTCCTGACCAGCTGGGAACTTCGTGTCCTTGGGCATGGTGCGACATGGCTTACGGATGCTCCCGCAATCTCCCGCAGGAGCTCCGCTACCATGCACTTGGTGGCAGGTAGCAACAGCGAATGTCGGAAACTGAAACGGGCAAATCACCAACTAACGGTGAGCGCAAAGGATCGGAAAATGATCCGGCAACACTTCTTTTCTACGGCTCGAGCATCGATGCCCACCCTGTCACAACGCACTGATCCAGTGCATGACATGCATCCCGGTTTGAATTTCACTTCACCTATGGGGTCGAGACCCTCATTTTGTACCAAAGTCTCAAAATTCCCAACCTCAGCCATTATAAAATGATGGTTCTCAACCTCCAGAGGATTACGGAAAATGACAACATGATACTGCTACAAAATGAAGATTGGTTTTTATCGTGAGGTTACTTGAAGGGGAAATTCCACCACTAAAAAATGAAGATTGGTTTCTATCATCAAGTTACTTGAAGGGGACACTCACTCCACCACTACAAAATGAAGATTGGTTTTTATATGTTTTTATCATCAGGTTACTTGAAGGGAACACTTCAATACATTTCAATACTACAAAATGAAGATTGGTTTTTATCATGAGGTTACTTGAAGGGGAAATTCCACCACTACAAAATGAAGATTGGTTTTTATCATCAAGTTACTTGAAGGGGACACTCCACCACTACAAAATGAAGATTGTGTTTTATCGGTTTTTATCATCAGGTTACTTGAAGGGAACACTTCCGAAGGGCAACTTCCCTTGCTACAAAATGAGATTGGGTTTTTACATGTTGTCTTCCGATGGGCAACTTCTCTTGCTACAAAATGACTTTCGATTTTTAAAGGTCTTTCAAATACCGAAACGTTGACAACTTATAAAATGCAATTCCCAAGCTGTGGGTACAAAATGCCTGGCCCATCCCCATTTGTTCATCTTAATTTAAGCCCGGAAATGCCCTTGAAACGGGGCACAAGGCCTCCCATTCTGTAGTTGAAATTCGAACGGGGATTGACATGCGATGATGATTCCACATATTTCCACATGTTGAATGATGTCACCTTGGTTGAATGGATCATCTGATTGCACATCAACTAAACGCAAGATTTTGGATCGGGCGGGGTGAGTTCGCTATAAACGAGTACACAATCAGGTGCGCTTATGTTCCCGAAAGATGCTTCATTTGCACATCTTTGTTCAAGCATGTTCAAGCAAAATGCACACCCTTTTCATGCCGTAAAACAAAGGAAATTGATTTTAAAAGAGAAGACCTCTTGCAGAACCATTTTTACAGCAAAGACTTTACAAGGGAGACGAATCGTGAGCTACCTGTGCGATCTGAAACAATGATTGACACTGGTGAAACCCCAGTTTTTGGAAGGTGGCGCTTGACACTTCACTGCCAATCTGCCTGCAGCTCGTTTGTCTGCGCGAAACCTGCGATCTTCACAGGTCCTTTGACTTTGAATGACTGCTCTGTCAAAATCTGTCAAACTTTGGTGCATGACCTTGGATGAGCTTCGATCAACCAACATCAACCAACATCATGTTCTCTCATGTTCTCTCCTCCACAGTCTACAGAGTCCGATGGCTTTCGAAGAACCCACAACCTGCAACAATGAGGGGCGGTGAAACTTGCGGTCAAGCTTTGCCGGGTAACGTTCCATCATGGCCTCGCATAGCTTCCGAGTGCAAGTGCAGTTGCCATCAAGGAGCGGTTGGAGCCTCTGAAATGCCGGAATATGCTCGGCAAAATCCGTTCGTTCTTTCTCCAACTGGATTGTAATTCCGGCATATTCCGGCAATGCCTTGCCTGATGCGCTGGAGACCTCACAAAGCGGAATCGGGCACGGGATGGAATCTGACATGGTTGCACAATGAGGTTTCGGCCGGTCTTTGATGCAAAGATAGAAATGGCTGCCTGAGACTGACTGCTTTGAAATACATGGACTGATGAGAAACTGTGGTGACTCAAGCTGTGAAAAGGAGAATCTTAGAACCTGAATATACCTGAATAGAACCTATAGCTATGGGTCAAAACTCCGGTTCTCCGATGTGCTCTGGTGAATACCCCCAGCAAAATTAATCTGCCGGCACCGAAGGTGAGGGTTTTCTATGTGCATGCTATGATCAGAAACAATCAGAAACAAATGAAACAATTGCAAGATGTTGCAAGTATTTTATGAAGTATTCCCTGTTGTTTAACGTTTTGGGAAAGGTCATAGAATTGAGGTGAGCCTTGATGAATCGTGAAACTTCCCGAGATTTTGAAACGTCCTGGAAGTATTTTGAAACTTACTGTACTTTATAGATTATTATTATTATTATATATATTATATTTATTATATATATATATTCACAAATTGTGAAACTTTGACCTTGTATTTGGATGCATTTTGAAACTAGACTAGACGATTGTATGGTATTTTGAAACGGCTTTGTGAAACTCTGAAATTTGTATTTGGAAACTCTGACGTTGCATTGTGAAACTCTAAAGTTACTGGAACTGACAAGGCACAAATCCTATGCAAACATAAACACACCCTACATAAATTGACCCTAGTGTTGCGGGACAGTAGTTGCGCAATATGACCAAACTACAACAAGGTAGTTGCACTATCTGCAAATCCCAGTTTCAAAATCCAACAAAACAAGTTGCAAAATCCTACGAATGCAGTTGCGCCAGCGCAGTTGTACAAGTCTGGGGCTCAACGCAGCCCAACAAGGCTCAACTTAAGCCCAATATACAGGAAGCGCTTTGCTCGCCATATGGTGATCTCTAAACCGTTCAATTCAAATATCAACTCACCCAGATGTGCAGAAAACCAGAAAAATTCGCTTTGTGTCAGATTCGAGTGTTGGATTCCCTACTCTATACCCATGCCAAACCTATCTTGCACCTATATGTGCTCTTTTTTTGGGCCACTTACGGATTTTCAAAGCATTTACATAAGATCCCCCATGTACAGCTCGCTAGATGCTTTGCGGCCGACTTTATAGATAATAGCCTTGTATAAACCGGAATGGCCACATGATTGGCGTCTATAAAGTGGAAAGCCAACATGTTTTGTCTATAAAGTCAAAATCCAACGTTGTATAAAGTCCCATGACTATAAAGTGAGATGCCGAACATCCAGATAGTAATACTTGTGTCGAACAGCGGCCAGGGTATAAAGTGGCCAGTCCAACATAGAATAAGATTTCCCTTGAAAGGAGTCCTCAGGGTGAATGGGGCCCTGGGCGCGCCGCGCGCGCGCGCGCGCCAAAAGAGCTTCAATTTGGAGACACGGGCGCGCGGCGCGCCCAAGACACCTTTCACCCCGAGGACCCCTTTCAAAGGAAATTGACTCTATAAAATGCTCTGCCGCATTTTTTTTTCTATAAAGTGCCCTGGCTGCAGCACAATTTCCCTTCTTAAAGATTCTTAAAGGGCAAGTTTCACTCTGTAAAGTGCTTTGCCATGTATATAGCCCCAACAAAAAAATATTGGCCCGAAATCATTGGGGAGATTGTTTTCTATAAAGTGGATGGTGTGACATATTGTGGCAATTCTTTAAAGGGAACCAACATGAGCCAACGGTCTATAAAATGGATTGCCGCATATATTGAGTCGTTTCCTTGTGGGAAACCAGCGGGGTATAAACTGGAAAGCCAACGTTGTATAAAGTCATCTTCCAGGTCCAAGGGCATGTTTCTTGCGCAAAACACGGCTTTATCCCCCATTGTCGGTATATAAAGTGGCGACCGGAAACTCACTTTATAAGCGCAAAGGATGCCCACTTTATAGTGAGCTATACGTGGGGGATTATATAAGCATTTCAAGAGCTATTGCCTGTGCGGCGCGGGATCCCAAATTGAGCCCAAGTTGGGTCGATTTTGGGTTGCCTACGGTTGCCTGAAGATATCTGAAGCTCAATTTTCTGTGCCAGTCGTGTCACCTGACCTGAGGATATTGAGCCTTTTTGCCTGCCAACCTCTGTGCCAGAGGGCGATTTTTGGGCCCAAAGGGATGTTTTTTTCAGGATGCAAACCGCAATGCAAACCCAGTGTATCCCAGTGTCTCAGCTTGTCTTTCGCCGCTTTTAAGCTTTTCCTCACATCCAAATCTTGAAAAAAAATACAGCGAAAAACATGCGAAATGTTCCGCGGAGTTTCTGCGAATTACACCTTTGCTTTCACCTGTGCTTCCGCGGCCTTCTGCGGATGATAATAATGTCCTCAAAGAAACTTGGGTAAACTGCCATCAAGAACAACTAAGCACAGGAAATAGATCCTCCAGACTATGCCAAGTGACTATGCTCAGCATCCGGGTCTTTAGACAAGAAACGCATCCGCTAAGGCAAGCTGCCAGATTTAGTCCCAACACAGGTTTAGGCCCCAGGTTTAGGCCTAACACAGGTCCAACATAGGCCCAACATTGGCTTAACAGGGGCCAAAGATAGGATCAGCGTAGGCTCAGCAAGGGTCAAATGATGTATTTACAGTATGTAACATTATGTAACTATGCCCAATGTAGCCCAACAAGGGTTCAGCTTAGATCCAACATTGATGCGCCACTGATGCGCCTACCTGCCTATCCCACAAGCTAGAGCAAACATTTCCGCTGCGGGCTGTTGGTATCGGGGAGTGACCAGCAGCTTGGCTTAGGGAATTCTAGTTGGCTGTGTTAAAAGAACCCTCTTCTTTGCATGCCCAATTTCAACATTTGGATTCATTTGGCCTTCTTATTGTTCGCTCTTCCTTTTGACAGGTCCGAGCACGTTCATTATTCGATATATATATATATACCCCAACACATCCTAACACGACTTATTAATAAATTTTGGATCTGGAGCTTACATGTCCTAGGCTCATGACGAATATGGCAAGCTCAGTAAGGGTCCATTGTGTCCCAATTACGATTTTCTCTCTGGGTATGCCTCGTCTTGTTGTCATAGCGTCATCGTTTGGGCAGGTAAAGTATTCTCTTCACAGATGCAAGTTTTCTTACAAGAAACTGCCAAAGCAATAGCTACAAGGTATGCAAAGTACGACCACACCATTTCGGTTTTGACCCATCCCCAAATTAATAAGGCTAGGACGAGCCAAGCGCAACCACAGCAACGCTGTCACACCCCCCTCGCAGAATCGAGAAGGGATCCTGGAACAAGTACAAAATGAGCAGAACGGAAAACTATGGAAGACGGCCAATAAAACACAACCGTCGTTTCGAGCACATGGACGGATTCAGGTACAATAGAATTTGCTGTACCAGGTGAAGGATGAGATCATATGAATATGAAATGCAAGAAAAAACAAAGATAATCTCTTCCTTTACAAACAATGAAACACCTCATCCCACTATCTCGCACAGGAGCTGAGTACTCAACCCCCCCCACCTCGCCACTCAACCCAGCAATCAATTTACGACCATACTCACTAGTTTGCTACATCACTTCACCAATAAACACTCTAGTGTCCGCGTAAAGTCTGTCTCATTGCGATGCTGCCTTCGCGTGCCTCTGGTTGGGATAATATGTTGTGAACAAATTTCAATATTTTGCTTCAAGCTTAGGGTCGCCTCATGGTTACTCAGTTACTCTATATGTTTAAATGGTTCTCAAAATCATTGGTACTTTGTGCTTGCAGAAGCGCCTGCGTGATTTGGACGGTATCTGTGACCGTTGCAAGGTGAACTGTGATGGTTGCAATGTTTCTCTGGTGGCTGCGCGGCAGTAGGTCTCTATGGTCTCCGGCTTGTAAAACGCAATGATACGCAATACATCGCAATACAATATACGGGCAATGCAGGAGCACAAGTTTGTCCCTGCAATCGGTGGAGCAATGGCGGAGCAATCAAATCAAGACGATCAAATCAAAGTACCGGTGTCCAAATCGTGCAGCAAAGCAATCCAGTGATCAATCAACACATCAACACATCGACCCATTGATCAAGCAGGAAACCAATGAACGAACCAACCAATATATAACTCACATTATATATAAATCATTATAAATCAATAAATCAAATCAGATCAAACCCAACCAAATCAGATCAAACCCCACCAAAAAATCAAGTCGGTCAATTGCACAGTGAACTATTAGATGAAACCCATCCGCAGCACAACCAGTCAATAAATCTTTGAATCAACCAACCAATCAGTCAATCAGTTGATCAGCTTACCGGTCAATGGATTGGTCAGCAAAGCAACAAACCAGCCAACCAATCCATGACCAAGCAATCAGTCGCCCAACAAATCAATCAATTAGCCAGTCAACCAGCCGATGAATCCACTTACGAATCAACCAAGTTCAACCAATCACAATCGCAGAATTTCACAGAATCTTTCAATATCTCTCTGGAGCTTGGAGATCTTGGAGGGATCGGCCAAATCTTCTAAACTCGAAATGCGCTCGATGATATGTGCATATGTGCATACCTCCCTCAAAGCATCTGTAGGGAAAATCCGAGACATAAAAAATGCGAGAACTTGCACCTCAAACAGAGACCACTGGCGTCCATCGTATGTTTTTTGGAATTGTTGTGTCTTGGTTGTTTTGGTGCAGTCCTCAAGCGATCTTGCGCCTGGTATTGCGCAAGCGTCAGCAATACATGCTCGACCTCGAAGTTCGTAGACCTTGGCAGTTGGAAACCCACAGCATTGGTTTTGTTTCGTCATACATCGTGATACTATGTGATACTGACATTATCTGCCTCATTACACTTTAAACATCTTCAAACGGCAGTACTCATCATTTGCATACCTTTGGCAAATGCGCATACCTTTGGATCTGCATCTGTTGCGAAATTGCCTTGGAGCCCGACTTCGAAGTCTATGTCTTGCAAGCTCTCCTGCATTCAAGGGCGTTCACAAGATCACAAGCGCAATGGTCGTTTAGACCTGAAAAAAGAAAACAAAAAAGGCTGGACACGACTTGATGATGTTTGAAGTGGAACATGTGAAACTGGATTATATAGGTTTGTGCATGTTCACAGTTTTAGATACTCGTGTCCCGCTTCCTTCTAAAGAATCAGTTGCCGTGTAGACAAACTATGTTACCATATAGACAGGCTGAGTGGGCATCGATAAATTCAGTTCCTGTTTGTAAACAATGTCCCTTACAAGTAATTATCAAACACATTCTCTGAACATGCCAATACAACAACAAGATCATTTGAGACCCAAAAAATGTTGCATCCCCTTGGTCACCTTTAAGTTTAAGGATGCACTCTTCAACACTACCCCAGTTCCAGGCCCTGACAAGGCCTCCCGAAAAAAGAGAAAGCAACACATTACATTGCTACTGTCCAAACAAGTGGCCGCACAAACATTATCTGTTAATATCTGTTAGACTATTGTAATCTATTATAATCTATTGTAGGTTTCGCTATGTTTCGCTTACACGCTGTCCGTTTGCCTTGTGATCCTTGTGCTTCTCTGTTGTTCAGGTGTCGTCATGGGATGGCCCTCTGGGCAACGTTTCCTGTGGATTCTGAGATTCAAATGTCCGGCTACCCTGTCTTAAGGCTCCTCGGGCTCTTCCTCCTTCATATTGGTTATTGGTTCTATAACAACAGCGAGTTGTCAGAATTAAATCTTGTTTCAAGGGGCTTGGTCAACGATGGCACCTTTGACCAATTTGGCAGCACCAATCAATGCGTTTGTTTCTTAGGAAGCACAAGTCAACGCGCTATCGGAACCCAATATCAACACAGATGCGTGTACACGTGGGATTTCCGAACCCACATCTCACCACCTGAAACTTAATCGGTTGGTCCTGCCTGATCGCTCAGACTGTCCAAGGCGACCAGAATTAAAAGACCATGGTCATGAAGGAACATAAGCCTTGCATTGCTTGAGAAACATGGATTACACTAGTCAAAAACGCCCAAGAAAAAACTGGCGATGCTAGCCACTGGCATCGTAGGTGTCTAATCGCTTTGATGCATTCTGCATGTCTTTCACGTACAACTGACTCTGAGAGGGAACATGTCGAAGGCCTTTCGCTTGCCTTCGTAAAACTCTCTTCTTCCTGGCCACTTGGTGATGCTTCAAACCGCTGTCAAGTTTCCACCCGTGTCCGACTGAGAACAACTGACCAATTTTGTGCAGTTCTTGCAGGAGGCATATTTTGTTTGAACATGACTGATTTGTGCCTGCGTCATAGGGCCACGCCTTTCCCCTGGACCTGAACGGCAGTCAAACTGCCAATCAAATTGTTTTTCATTGCACAGTTCAAATTATGCCACAATTTTGTGTTCCCGGCAGGTGCGGATGCGGAGGACTGGACTAGTCGCCAAGAGAAAAGACACAATCACCTTGGGGCCATTCAAAATCATAGTTGAAGATGAAACAAATACAATTATATACATTGATATGCATTGATATACATTGTATAACATGCATCGACAAAATTTTTATCATTGTCCAACTCTTGGAACCAATACATAGCGGAAATGATATTTTGTAGCAAACGAATTTGATTTTGAAACATGTAACAACAGATCACAATGGCCCCTGCAGCTAAGGCTGAGGATCCCCTTTTTATTCTGTTTCTGCAGCCAAGGCACGAAGAAAAAAATACAAAATTAAAGTGAACAATAAAACAAATTTTCCATGACAAGTGCCCGTTAAGCACCTCCATGTGTGCAAAAACCAAAAAATTGTCTGTCAGGCCAGCATGTGGTGCAATTTCCAACCGTTGGTTGAAAATTCAAAAACCTTCTTTACAGATCGAAAAGAAAAAACGACTGCAGTTTGAAGGGTGCCATGGCGCAGATCAAATGCCATGAGCACAATTTGCATTCAAATCACGTTGTCTTCGAATGGTTTTGATCAGCACAAAAAACACAAACATCGTAGCATGCAATCGTGAATGAAACAGGGGACTTGCTGATAGGCACCACATCACCCTCTGGCCATAAGGAGGCAAAAAACATCAAAACATATCATAGTAATTTACAAACCAACGCAACACGTAAGTATATCCACAAACCAATATATCCTTAGATCTAGAGATCAAACAAACGTAAACACCTAACAAATGCCAATATGAAAAAAAATATAAATATATATGTGCATGCTGCATACTTGAAAATATGCAAATATGTAAGCGACTGTGAAAACGGATTTCCTACAAAAAAACAAAAATGTAAATATGTACACATGAATACATGCGAAAACATGTATACATGTCAAAAGGCCTGTGTGTAAATTGCAGTTTTGTAAAAACGTATAGATGTATATCTGTATTATATATATATATGTATTCGTATATACGTATTCGTATATACGTATATACGTATATATGTATATATGTATATATGTATATACGTATATATGTATATATGTATATATGTATATATGTATATATGTATATATGATTATATATGTATATATGTATATATGTATATATGTATATACGTATATACGTATAGATGTATATATGTATATTGTGAAACTTCCACAGTTTATTGTCCTGGTGAGCTTGACGGTTGGACCTCAGCTGCCGTCTTGGCAGTCCTTGTTTTCCCATGGTCTTACATGTCAGGGAGGTTGTTTACCATTTGCACCTTGGCCGCAACTATTGGTTCACCTCCAGCGGTAAGCAGCGGTGCGGATTGAGCCATTGGTGGGAAAACAGCATACGGTGTTTGCTGGTGGTGGCTGCTGTTGAAGCGAGGCTGCTTCGCATTGGTAGCGGAGCCTGCGGGCTGGCGCTGGAGGAGGACTTCCAGAAGGAAAACTTGGTTGAGAAGGGCAAGTACCTGGTGAGGCGACTGGGTAGTGAAAAATAAAGGTGGAAGCGTCTTGGGAAGATGCCAGACGGGGCTGAGGGACAGCCTGGTGGAAGTGTGAGTGTGGAAGAGAAGACGAGCAACTTGTGGAGCTTGTTGCCGAGTTTCGACCCTAGTGTCGATAGCGCCAAAGAGTATGCGGACAAGGTGAAGTTTCTATGGGGCATATGCCCTGTGAAGGACAGAAGTATGTTGGCACCAAGGTTGGCTTTGCAGTGCAAAGGGACTGCATGGAGTCAGGTGAGAGCCATTGATGCGTCGAAGTTGACAGACCCTGAGACTGGTTACAAGGTACTGTTGAAAGCTTTGGAGACCTGGGAGGATGCCGAGGAACTTCAGACCTTTGACAAATTTGAGAAGGCGTTTTACCGAGTAGTCCAAAAGACAGACGAGTCAGCAATGTCGTTTGTCAACCGAATCAATGTTGCTTTCGAAGAAGTGGGCTCTGAAACAACCGTCCAACAAGTTCGAGCCTTCGTGATGTTGAGACAGAGTGCCTTGACTGTTGAGGACAAGAAGCGTGTGGTCTCTATGGCAGGCAACTATGATCCGTCGGCAGTGGAAAAGGCAATGAGGTCCCTGTCGACCAAAGTGCTTGGGCAGACAGATGCTGGACGCAAGAAGGTGTATCCAGCCAACTTTGTGGAAGAGGAGTTGGATGAAATTCACTATGCAGCTGAAGAAGAATGTGATGAAGAGCAAGCCTTAGCCATGCTCATCGAGGAAGGTGATGAGACAGCACTTGCCATACAAGAGTTCGAGGATCAGGTGATCCATGTTTGTCAGGATTCACCTGAACTGGCCATGGCGTTCTCCACGTACCAGGAGGCACGACAGAAGCTTCGAGACAAATTTCGCAGCCGAGGGTTTTGGCCCCTTCGTCATGGAAAAGGGAAAGGCAAGAACAAGTCAAAGAAGGGCAAAGGCCCCAGAAAGTATCAGAGTCTTGCAGAGCGCATAGCAAGCTCTACCTGTCGCGCCTGTGGAGCACGAGGCCACTGGAAGGATGAGTGCCCGCTGAAGGACAAGAATGTGACTGCAGATGCGAACGTGATCCTCACGGAAGAGCTCTCAGGGGGTGGTGAACTTCTTGATGAACTTCCTGGCCATGATCTTGCCAATTGGCAGGTGGGGATGTGTTCAAAATTTTGGTTGCCCACGATGGTGCCACCTGAGTACCATGTTGATAATGAAGAATTCAGTTTAATAGGTTCCCATGAAATGATTTTGCATGCGATCAACATTCCCAAAGGGAAGTCATGTTGTGAAAAGAGTTTGAAATATTTTCCCAAACTGAAAGAAATGTTTCGTCGAGCAATTGAGACAAGCTTCAGTGTCACTGGCAGGTCCCCTGAGTCAACTGAGGAAAGTAGGAATGGCAGCTTAGGTGACTCAGGCACTGGGATCATAGATACCGGTGCAAGCAAGTCCGTGATCGGCGAAAAGCGAGTGAGTGCACTTTTGACTACTTTGAAGGCAGAACACCGTGAGATGGTTAAGTGGAAGGAATCTGAAACCGTTTTTAGATTTGGTAACAATGGTGTTTTGAAGAGTGTTGGTGCGCTGTTTGTACCGTTTGGGAAACAATGGATGAAAATTGAAGTGGTTCAAGGAACCACGCCTTTCCTCATTTCAAATGCCTTTCTTCATGCACTTGGCGCAGATGTTCTGGTGAGTAAATCCTGTTTGGAAGTGTCTTCTTGGGGAAAATCCGTGACACTCACCAGAAATGCCAAGGGGCTGTTTATTGTCAAGTTGTCAGACTTGATTGATGCGGCTAGCATGAGAAGTAATTCAGAAAAGTTTGAGGAAGTCATCACTTTGGCAAGTAGTAGAATTGAAAATCGAAGTAGGGAGGTTTACTGCACACACAAGCAGCAGCAGCAGCAGCCAAACACAATGTCAAGTACATCTTCGACGACTGCTACAGCTGCGGTGGCTCAACCTCAAGTTGACCGAGAACCAGATCGGCTTCAAAGTCAGTCCGCTCTTTCTCAAGCTGACAGCCATGACTCTTCCAAGTGCCTCGGGAACGCCATTTCCGGGACTCCAGACAGAGATGCTAGATGCGATGCTGTCCGGAGAAGTGGATGCCTCTCTGGCCTTCGAAGATCGACAACTACCAGAGATCAAAAGTCGTCGCCCTCCAGGTGTGATGACCTTGAAGGAGTGGGGTCAGTTGAAGTTCCCGGAAGGGAAGTGGCGGCACAAGTCCTTCTTTCAGGCATACCAGGAGGACCCAAAGTACGGCAAGTTCATGAAGGAGCACAGGAAACTGGTGTCAGCTTGGGCACTGAGTTTTCAGGCTTACGTGGAAGCCATGGACAGGATGCAGGAAGATTGCTCGAAGGCCTTCTACCAGGAGTATGCCAGACAGTGGGCCAAAGCCGAGATGTCCAAGATGTATCCGAAGGCAGAGATCGAGAAGAGTCAAGGACCAGAGTGGGAGCTGTTGACAGGAGGGGTGACATCGCGTCCGATGAGCACGATGTCATCACCAAGTCAGAAGCGCCCCATGGAAGAAGAGCAGTCGCAGATGGCGATCGAGGTGCAGCAGAAAGAGGAGATGATCACTCGCATGGCGATCTTGCAGCGCGAGATGGACAAGATCAAGGCCGACTTGGAGGGAGTCTGAATGAGAGGTCTAGCGTAGAGCAACTTGAGACAGATCAGCAATTGACCAACCAATTGCTCAAAAAGATTGAACTAGCAATGGGAACAATTGAAGCAGAGCTGACCTGTCTTCAAAAGATATGGCCGACGCTGACCGACTCTCAGACTTTCCAGAAGTTTGGAAGTGATCTTCTGGAGATCTATTGTGAAGAACATTCTCAAATCACAGAACAAGCTTGTAAGCTGGGCTTGAAGGCCAGAAGATTCACTTTCAGTGATGGAGATCTTTCTACACCAGAAGGTCAAGCTGCGCTTTGGAAAGTTTTGGAAGAAGAGCGACCGAGAGAAGTCTGGATGGCACCAGAATGCAAATATTGGGGCAACTTCAGTCGCAGAAACATGGGCAGGAGCAAAAGCACAGAACAAATGATTTCAGAGGGTCGCAAGAAGCAACGTGTTCATTTGAAGCTTTGTAATGATGTGTATTGGTATCAGATGGATTGTGGTGGTCAATTTCATTTGGAACAACCCCAAGGGTCGGAGTTGATTTATCAACCGGAAGTCTATGATATTTACTGTGGGACCCTGTGTACTGTTTTTGATATGTGTGAAGTTGGAAAACTACTTGCCCCACATGTGATGCGACGAGTGTCTGGAAACAATTTCCTTAGGAAAAGGACGCATGTCTACACTTCCTCAAAGATTTTCCATGATGCATTTGACCACCGATTGTGTCCTGGGCATCATAAGCATGCTCCAATTGCTGGCAAGATCTATCATTTGGGTCGGTGGATTTCTCTCTCGGAATATGCTGCAAGGTACACCTCCGGTTTTGGTAGGAATGTGGCAAGGTATGTTTCCTGTAGGTTTGATGAGAAGCCACTGGTTTTGGATGAGTTGCATGTTTGTGATGTTGATGAAGCTTTTGTTGCCGGAGTTGTCAAAAGAAAAAGAGTGTCCGCTGCAGCAGTTCCAGTGAGCTTAGAAGAGCCGGTTTCAGCAGAAGTGAAGCGTCCAAGGTATCACTGCAAACAGACACCAGCAGGTGACCACGGATGTGCAGCCGGTGAATATTGGGATGGCATTTTTAAGAAAATTGAAACCATGGTTCCACGGGTAGGCAAACGTGTTTTGGATGATGATGGGGTTTTAGCTCAGATTCAGAAGGGGGCCACAAACTTGAAGGTTCAGAGGGTTGAAGCCTGTAGGGGAACTGAGAGGTTGCGCCTCCCTGGATTTGATGCGGACCCAGAAACCATCCCGTTGAGATGGACCGTGGTCAAAGACCGCATCACGGGTCAGTCAATGGTACTTGGCCCAGCTGAGGAATGGGCTGCTCTGCCAAAAAGGCAGCAAATTCGAAAGGGTCAATCTGCAAAGATGAGCCTCACCATTTTTGGAAGTTTTCCAAAGTCAGGGGAGCTTGTGACAATGGGGTCTGATAAGGAAGCAGGTACTGGGGATGATGGTGAAGATGTTGTTGTGGTAAGTAAAGACCCTCCCAAGAATGTTCCGGTTCATGGACCAGGGTACATGTTGTTGAATGGTGATGAAAAGGCTCAGATTCGGAGGTTGCATCACAACTTAGGCCATCCACATCCACAGAAGTTTGCCTGGTTTTTGAAGGAAAGGCATGCGGAACCTCATTTGGTTCAAGGAGCTCTGGATTATCAGTGCGACAGTTGTGCGGAAACAAAAGCTGGTCCAGACTCCACCCGTCCTGGCACAATTCATGAGAATCTGGGATTCAATCAAGTGATTGGTATGGACACTGCTGTTTGGACTAATAGTGTTGGTAAGAACTTTCAGTTTTCTCATATCATTGATGAAGGGACTTTGTTTCATGTTGGTTCTCATGTTGTCAGTGCGGACACAGATTCTCAAATTCGAGTCTTTGAGAAATGTTGGATGTTATGGGCTGGCACTCCACAAGTTGTGTATGTTGACCCTGGCACGGAATATACGGCAGAAGCATGGCAGGACAGAATGCAAAGGCATGACATCCATGTCAAAGTCAGTGCAAGTGAAGCACACTGGCAACTGGGGAGAGTGGAAATTCACGGATCAGTTGTGAAGAAGATGTTGAGTCGCATGGATTTGGAGTCACCAATAAACTCGGTTGGGGAGTTTGAGCAGGCTTTGGTTCATGTGTTCAATGCCAAGAACAGTTTATCCAGAGTGAAGGGATACTCTCCCGAACAAGCTGTCCTTGGAATTGCCAAAAGATTGCCTGGGTCCGTTGTCTCTAGTCAGGGGGTAGGAAGTATAAGTCTGGCTGAAGGGACTGGTCCCGAGAGCGAAGCCTTTCGAGCCAGTCTGGAAAGACGCAGCAGTGCACGCAGAGCTTTCATAGAAGCTGATAATTCATCCAGTCTTCGTCGTGCGCTTTTGAGGCGGACTCGGCCAATGCGAGGACCTTTTGAAATAGGAGATCTTGTGTTGTATTGGCGTAGGAGGGGTGCCAATCTACGTAGAGATCGTGGTCGCTGGTATGGGCCAGCGAGTGTTGTTGCAGTCGAAGGGTCCAAGAATGTTTGGTTGAATCATGCTGGAAAGCTAGCGCGCACGAGCCCTGAGCAACTTCGTGCAGCCAGTTTTCGGGAGTGGAAGCAGGCCAAAGAGTTGCTCACAGAGTCTGGCCCAGGGAACTCAGATTTACAGAGAGCCCTCAATGATGGCAGTTTCATTGATGTAGATGGGGAGGATTTTCTGACTGGGAAGCTGAAACAGAGGGATATGACCCATCAATTGGGGAGCCCGAAGGAGAGTTGTCAGTTCAGCCACCTGGGACACCTAATGGGGAGTTGAGCAATCAGTCTGAACCGCCTCAAGGAGTGGAACAGTCAGAGAATGAACTCCCTGATTACGTGCGTGTGCCGGTTCCAGAAAGTGTCAGTGAGTCCGATGGTGATGCCTCACAGGCGGGCGTCAATCTTGAACCAACGGATGACCTTCTGGTTGGAGATGACATCACCATGTCTGCAGATGATAGGTGTTGCCAGTTCTGGGAGATTGAAATTCCTGTTGAAAACCATGAAGAGCATGCACTGTTTTGCGCTGGATCAGCAGATGAAAGTGTGTTGTTGGTGACTGGAGCAAAGAAGAAACGAGTTGAAGTCCGTTTGAGTGATTTAAGCAGTGCTGACCAACAGCGCATGGCGGTGGCCAAGCATAAAGAAATAGGCGCCTGGCTCAAACATGGAACTGTGAGAAAAGCATCCAAAGGAAAAAATCCTGAGGAAGCAATCATGCGCTGCCGATGGCTGCTCACCTGGAAATCAGCCTCACCTGAGGATCACCCCAAGGATGTGAGTGAGGGTCGTAAGGCAAAGGCCCGGTTGATTGTTGTTGGATACGAGGATCCTGGAGTTGGGGTGGTTCAAAATGATTCACCCACACTCACCAAAGATGGAAGACAGATGGTGGTGCAACAGGTGAGTAGTCATGGTTGGGAACTAGTTTCCTTCGATGTCTCAACTGTCTTTCTCCAAGGCGAAGGAGACGGCCGCTTGCTTGGTTTGTATCTCACCCCAGAGTTAACAGAAGCCCTTGGGTTGGAACCTGGTGATCAGTGTCAATTGGTAGGTAGTGCGTATGGTCGTGTTGATGCTCCTTATTTGTGGTATTGTAAGTTTCGTGACTCGTTGTTGCAAGAAGGTTTTAAACAGTGTCCTTTTGATCCTTGTGTTTTTACTCTTGTTTCTGTTGATGAAAAGGGGAAAGAAAGAGTTCACGGTTCCCTAGGGGTTCATGTCGATGATGGCATTGGGGGTGGGGACAACATGTTTATGGCAGCCTTGGAAAGAGTCAGAAAGCGTTTCAGTTTTGGATCATTTGAAAAAGGGTCCTTTGTCTTCACGGGCATAAGGTTTCAGCAGTGGGATGATGGCAGTGTGGAGTATGATCAGATTGACTATATAGAGAAGATTAGGCCAATTGAAATCCCAAAACAGAGACGTACCAATGCTGAAGCTGCGCTGAGCCCGAGTGAAGTGACGCAGTTGCGAAGTCTTGTTGGAGCTCTGCAATATGCAGCAGTCCATACCCGTCCCGACATTGCGGCCAAAGTTGGAGAGATCCAAAGTAGGGTGGCAAAGGCAACAGTCGATGACATGATTTTTGCAAATCGAGTGTTGCATGAGGCAAAGGTTCACCCTGTGACTTTAATGACATTGCCGATTGCCCCTGAACAAGTGACTTTCTGTGCCTTCTCCGATGCCTCGTTCCTTTCAGGAAAAGAGAAATATGCCCATCAGGGATGTTTGATTTTTGTCACGACTCCAGAGTTGCTGGAGAACAAGAGATCAGTGGTAGCACCAGTAGCTTGGATGAGCAAGAAAATTCAACGGGTGACTAGGAGCACCTTGGGGGCTGAAGCAGTGGCATTGAGTGGGAATGTTGATCGTTTGTTGTGGTTGAGGATTTTGTGGCAGTGGTTGAATAACCCCTCGATTGAATGGCAGTCCCCCGAGAAAGTGTTGCACGAAGCCCGACAAGCTGCTCTTGTGACCGACTGTAAGAGTGCCTATGACCTTCTGACTCGCACGGCCGTTCCACAGTGTGAGGAGCATAGGACCACCATTGAGTGTTTGCTCATCAGAGAAAGATTGCAGGCCAATTGCGTAGTGAGATGGGTTACATCAAATGCTCAGCTTGCAGATTGTTTGACAAAGAGCATGGATGCAAGCGTTTTGCGACAGTGTTTGAAGAGTGGTCGGTATTCTTTGTTTGATGAAAATCGAGTGTTGCAACAGAGATCTGACAAGCGACAGCGTTTGAAATGGGCCAAAGAAGTGACGTCCAAGTCTCCAGAAAATGAGACAGTTTTGAAATGTACAGAAGAAGTCCGGCAGGACACATGGGAACAGGACTCAAGTGGCCAGGTTATCCGCGTACATCATGTCCCAAGATATCAGTTGTTTTCTCCTGTAGGAATTCTGGATTGTCCTGTTGATCTTAGAACCTTGGGGTTGGAGAGAGTAACTCGTGGTTGTGATTCGAACGGGCATAGATGGTACAATAAGGATTTTTGGCCTGGCACGAGAGGACATGCAAAGATGTCAAACCTCTGGACAGGTAAGACCATTTTTAAAGTAAGGGGTGTGTGAAACTTCCACAGTTTATTGTCCTGGTGAGCTTGACGGTTGGACCTCAGCTGCCATCTTGGCAGTCCTTGTTTTCCCATGGTCTTACATGTCAGGGAGGTTGTTTACCATTTGCACCTTGGCCGCAACTATTGGTTCACCTCCAGCGGTGGGCAGCGGTGCGGATTGAGCCATTGGTGGGAAAAGCAGCAGAGGCGTTGCTGCTGGTGGCTGCTGTTGAAGCGAGGCTGCTTCGCAATATATGTATATTTATATATGTATATATGTATATATGTATATATGTATAAATGTATATATGTATATATGTGTATATATATATGTATATATGTATATATGTATATGTGTGTGCATGTATATATGTATATGTGTGTATGTGTGTATGTCTATATGTATATATGTATATATGTATATATGTATATATGTATATATGTATATATGTATATATGTATATATATATGTATATATATGTATATATATGTATATATATGTATATATGTATATATGTATATATGTATTTATGTATTTATGTATATATGTATATATGTATCTATGTATATGTATATATGTATATATGTATTTATGTATATATGTATATATGTATCTATGTATATATGTATATATGTAAATATGTATATATGTATATATGTATACATGTATACATGTATTCCTTGTATGTATGTATGTATGTATGTATGTATGTATGTATGTATGTATGTATTTATGTATGTATGTATGTATGTATGTTTGTATGTATATGTGTATATGTGTATATGTGTATATGTATTTATGTATATGTATATGTATATAAACATATATATTACATACATAGATATAAACATGTATATTATTTATGTATATATATATATTTAGAAACATATACATATATATATATATTTACATACTATAAACATATATCATATAAACATATATATATATATAAACATAATGATTGATATATAGAGATGCATCCAAAAATGAACGAGGCAGGCTCTTTCTGGACCAGCTACCTGATCATACCACCTGGAGCTGGAGATAGAGCTGGATAGAGGAGAATCTAATTGCAGGCTATCTAGATACTATATAATATATATACTATCTGTAGACTATCTGTAGACTATCTATCTCCTATATATTGTCTATGTCTATATACTATCTGTGTACTATATACTACAAACATTCTACAAACATCTACAAACTATATATAATTATATATATATGCACTAAAGATACAGCTGCCAAAAACCGAAACAAGCTTTCGCTACTCTGCCTCTGCCAGCAGCCGCAACTCGGTTTGGAAGCCCTAGCACTGCTGTGGAACGATGGCCACGTCCCAGGAATCCATGAGATCCCCGAACTAAGTGGAGGTTTATAGCTGGAAAAATCATCGAACTAAATGGTGGATATACCCTGTGGTAATCTAACGAGCAATCTAACATAGATATGGAAAATGGATGAAGATGTTTTTCCCAAATTAGTGAGTAGATATATAGAAATCAAGACAAGTAAAATAAAAATAACACATCATTTTTACCCGGTTGTATACGGAATATCCCCAAGATTTTGTCTGGGTTGTAACTGGGTTATGACTGGGTCATAGCTGGGTTGTAATGGCAACTGAGCTATGACTAGTTTAAAACCAAATCTTTGTACATACATGTATGAAATATCACCTTGGAGGGTATCCCAGCAGATAGATGAAAACCCGATCTGTTCCTGTCATGGATGGATACCATCGAAAAAACCTCACTTCCGGCCGTCCATCTCTCTCACCATTCGTAGGATAAATCAATGTAGGTTAATATGATTCACCAACCTGACATAAGGACATTTGGGGATGATTCCCCTTATTAAACATCATCAAAGGTGATGTCGCAGGAAGATGCAGGAAGGCCATTGGGGTCTCTCTTGAAATATATAAGCCCTATGGTCTCATGACATTCCCATTGAATACAAGACTTCTGGGTTATATACCCACCAAACCCCCAATACTTGCTGGTGCTAAACGTAGGGAATGCGGAACTAATCCATAACTATTTTCACAATCATCCCATTCCCCCATTCCCACCTAAGCACCTGTAAGAATACACTTGGTGATATCCATAAGGGGTCAAAATTGGGTACCCCATTTTTTGTCTCGTTTATAGTAAAAGTGACTAAAACCTACTGGCCCTTTGGCTTAAAGTTTTGGCTCATAGCCATATCAATAATGGGAAGGTCCTCCACTGTCTGCTTCGCCTGCTTCACCGCGTCCCGCTCATTCTCTCGGCTGGTACGCTGCTCCGCGCTGCGCTGCCACCTTGGCAGTGGCGGGGTACAGCGGATGAGGCTGAGGTGCATGGCTTTGCTTTAAAGGAATATTTACAGGTTTTTCTGCTGTGAGCATGTGGTTTTTCTGGAATCTTGCCCTCTTCATTCAATTCTGAGAGTGGTGAAAAAACTTGTTTCGTCGCTGATACCACCATTGTGCTGGGGAAAGCAGCATTTGGTCGAAAAAAACACAAGTTTCATTTTCGTAGACACCTATGATATATGTGTCCCTTAGCACCTCGAGATTGTTTCAACCAAAAAACAAATTGTCTTGGACTGGAAGCGTATAATAAGTATGTATTAGTATGTATATACATATATCTGTGATATGATATATTATGATATGATATGATATGTAATGTAATCGATGTATATATACATATGTATGTATACATATGTATGTATACATATGTATGTATACATGAGTATGTATATGTATAAATGTATGTGTATCTATATATATATATGTATACATATAAATGTAAATATGTATCTATGTGTATCTGTATATATTTATATATGTATACATACGTATATATGTATAGATGTATAGATGTATAGGTGTATAGATGTATAGGTGTACAGATGTATAGATGTATATATGTATATGTATATATATATGTGTGTATAGACGTGTATATGTATATATGTATATATGTATGTAAGTATATAAGTATACATGTATATATATATGTATATATGTATAGACGTATATATGTATAGATGTATAGATGCATAGATGCATGGATGCGTAGATGTATACATGTATACATGTATAAATGTATATATGTATAAATGTATATATGTAAATATGTATATATGTATATATGTACATATGTATATATGTATATGTATATATGTATACATGTATATATGTATATATAAATATGTAAATATGAAAATATATTTTTATACGTATATATGTATATATGTGTATATGTATATGTAAATATGTAAATATATGTATATATGTATATATGTATATATGTATATATGTATATATGTATATATGTATATATGTATATATGCAAATATGTATATATGTATATATGTATATGTTTATGTATATAGGCATGGGTATCTATGTTTGTATGTGTGTATGTATGTGTGTATGTGTATGTATGTGTGTATGTGTATGTATGTATGTATGTATGTATGTATGTATGTATGTATGTATGTATGTGTATGTATGTATGTGTATGTTTGTGTATGTTTGTGTATGTATGTATGTATGTATGTTTGTATGTATGTATGTATGTGTGTATGTATGTATGTATGTATGTATCTATCTATGTATCTATGTATCTATGTATCTATGTATCTATGTATCTATGTATCTATGTATCTATGTATGTATGTATGTATGTATGTATGGATGCATGCATGCATGCATGTATGTATGTGTCTATGTATCTATGTATCTATGTATGTATGTATGTATGGATGCATGCATGCATGCATGCATGTATGTATGTGTCTATGTATCTATGTATCTATGTATCTATCTATGTATCTATGTATCTATGTATCTATGTATCTATGTATCTATGTATCTATGCATGTATGTATGCATGCATGCATGCATGTATGTATGTGTCTATGTATCTATGTATCTATGTATGTATGTATGTATGGATGCATGCATGCATGCATGTATGTATGTGTCTATGTATCTATGTATCTATGTATCTATCTATGTATCTATGTATCTATGTATCTATGTATCTATGTATCTATGTATCTATGTATCTATGTATCTATGTATCTATGTATCTATGCATGTATGTATGCATGCATGCATGCATGTATGTATGTATGCATGTATATAGGTATATCTGTATATATGGATATATGTATATATGTATATAATATACGTATATATGTATACAGTATATAGGTATATCTGTATATATGGATATATATATATATGTAGATATATATATATATGTGTGTGTGTATGTGTATATATATATACACGTTTATTATACTTGTGAAGAAAAAGAGAGAGAGAGAGAGTGGAAACCTCGGGTGGATGACAAAGTTGGGAATCTGGAAGTTGCGATATAAAGATCCTGCACAACAGCTTGGAAGAAGTGTTCTATCATGTTCTATCTAGTTCGGGGTTCTTAATTGCACAAGTTCGCAGCCTCAAACACTGTTGGTCAAGTGCAATGGCACGTTTTCAACTCCAGGTTTTCACCGTAGAGCAACTTGTGTTCCAAAAAAACAAGTTAGAAATTATGTGTTCCATTGCTGGCTCTGATTTTTCGTGGCGAAATCTGGAAATGTGTATGGTTCAATGTTGATATTTAAATCCTATCTTCCAGGATCCCAAAGAAGAAAACTGTTCTGCAACCACCCAGAACTTGCTGGTGTCCCGGGTCTCCCAACTCCCGGAGCAAGCGATCACCAACACGTTGCAGGGCCGAAAAGGAACCGCTGACGCAATGGACCTAGGGCGATCAGAGGGGAGACATCACCAAGCAAAATGTGGAGTTAAGCAGCAACATGCTGGGATTTATCCAGCAAAAAAAACCTTGGATTTATACACTAGAATTAGATTTGGAGGGA